TTTCGTTTTTGCATTCCACATTTGAACATTGGGGACAGGCTTTGATGTTGTGTTCATGCTCATAAGTAACCATGGATAAACCGGAAACAGAAACTGTGCAACAGAAGGTCACGTGACAGTCCATCCCAGTCAGGTGACTTGCTCCCCATGCTAACAGGATTCTCCTCCTCAAAACGAGGTGCACCAACCTCTCAGTGGCATACAAACGATGCAAAACAAACTCAAGCTAGGACAACTGACTTTATTGCTCATTTTGCCCCTTCTAACTCCTCCTGCCCATGCCACTCATATGAAGAACTGATTATAAGAGAGAAGGTTTCTCCAAACTGGAAGAAGTGACTGATCACAAAATGTGCTTAAGATGAGAAACCCAAAGACATTGCCTGATGATTGTCCGCTCAGCGCCTCCCTACTGGCTGTCAGCATGACTTCTTTAATTTAAAGTGCCGAGATCCAGGAGATTACCCGTCTGTAGACGGTATCGGTCTCTACCCAAGTACACGGAGGAAGGCAGGGAGGCAGTTTCACGGCTTCCTCACCGAATGTGGCCGAGTGTTTTCATGTTCAATCAACCATCAAACGTGGCTAAGGCCATGCCACTGCATAGGGAAAACAACAGAATGAGCCCAAAGCCGCTGCAACCACCCTCAAAGCTTGGCACGTATAAACACAGGACAAGCTTTGGTGGTAGAAAAAAAGCTCGACAGGAGACCTCACCAGCATCTCCACTTATCTGGAGCCATTCAGTGGACACATGAGCCGGGCTTTTGTTTGTCCTAATTTTACAGCTTTTATTTCATCGATTCTGCAGCTGCTCGGAGAATTCTGGGAACTAAAATTGGATTTCTCCTGTTTGTTTGTGTTGTGCTGGTTTAGGGTTTTCTGGAACAGAGTCCTGTGATCAACAGGCAAGCAGCGGGACATAATATGGACCATCTGCCGTTTCTTACAATGCAGGAGACAAACAACAGAATTAGGGCTGGACGTTCGGTTATAAATGTGTATTATTTGCCATCCAAATGTGCTTAACCTGGTGTAAGGTCACAGGAACGCAAGTGCTCATCTACAGTTGTGAGAAGGCAAGAAGTGGTGTACAAACCAAACATGTTCCCTGTCCATCATGGAGAAACAACTCTGATGGTTCAGGACCATTTATTCATTGTTAAGCATGTGAAAAACATTAGCTATTCCGATGGATGCTGACCTGGCTTGTGTTTCTTTGTCGTATTTTTTGTTATATTACAATATTTACTTGTACTTTAAAACAAAGGGGAAACATTCAACAATCACATCATACAGAGTTTACTGAGGAATATAATCCTAACCTTCACCTTTTTTTAATATTCACCCTTCTTACCAACACAGATCATCGCCATCGTCATTACCACCATGAAACACAAGATAAAGCAAATAAGATAAAAGCAATAAGTAGCAAGAAAGGTATGTCACTAAACTAGTGAGTTAGAAACAAAAACCACATCAGCATATATTGGAACAGTTGAAACGGTGATCCCTGAACTTCAGCTGATGAGGCATCTAAAGCCGCTGACGGTGTTTAAATGTGAGATGTTCAACACATATTTTACCCATAAGGCTCTGTTTTACCCTTGCATAGCACCAGTCCACTACCATGCCAACGTAGACTGAAGCTGCTTGGTTTGAATTAACAGGATGAGTTGCAGACTACACAAGAACCAAGGAATATTTTTGGATTTTCTATTTAACTCAATCTTTAGCGTAAGCTGCAAGACATAAATGTTGTCCCTGAATTTACAGCTTAATTATACCCAAAGTAACCGCAACCTCACAAAGGTCGGGACATATCCGAAGACATATAGTTTAGGTGTGTCGTGGCCCGCGGTTCTAACAAGTCTTTCAAGTCACATTTTTCTGTGCCGTGGCAGAATGACCACCAACCACCGGAGCCAACAATTTCCGGTGAGATCGAAGGGTCTACTGGCAGACCAGTGGACATGCATCTGGGTACAAGGGGAACAAAACCCACATCCACCACATTAAACATAAACATAATGTATGTCATGACATTGAGTCACAGTGGGCGCTCCCATCATGCAAACTGCGTATACAAAACATGACAACACATTCACCATCAGTCACCTCACTAAAGGCCTCTGGTCGTACCAAACCTTTTATTTGTCATGCACCATAATGAGCCAGTAACTCCAGTGGCGTGAGGAAAGTACATGTCAGTGTCTGCCTCACAAAGAGAAAATATTTCAAAGCACCTGTTTATTGCTATTATTAGCAAGCTCCATGAAAAAAAAACAAAAAAGAAGGAGAGAGAGACTGTGGTTTGCATGCATCTGGTGTGGCTTAATATAGCAACAGGCTACTGAAAGGCAAATTACCATAAAACCACACATGTATGGGCTTAAAGTCTACCTCTCTTTGTACCATTAAAAACTAATTAAAGACTTCAAAGAGCCTCCGTTAGAGAAGTGGTCTTCTGCTTTTGGAGAAAATAGAAAGGTCTCTATGAGCACTAGTGGTTTGCACTGTTGCGGTGTCAGTTCTGCCGGTGGGTATTAATGTGGTCAGGGCAACTTGTTATGGTCACAATCTGCTGCGTATGCCGACACAGCTGTATGTGACTTTAAAGTAGTTTTCTTTTTTTTTTTAAAGAAACATTATGACAGAGATGCGCTTCAAGAAATGCTTTACAACTCAGTCCAAGCTGTTCAGAGATCTGACAGTGTGACGTCACATTGATGTTTTTATTTTATTTTTTCTGAAGCCAACATAACCGAGTTTGTAACTGCTAAATGGGACTGGAAAAACGTGTTTTCCAATTCTTTTGCTGATAAAAGTATTTTTTTTTTTTTTTTTTTTTTTTTATTTTTAAAGTTGACCAAGGTCATTTCGGAAATGTTTCTAGCAGCTTTGCACATCTAGAGGCTGGAGTTTCTGTCAGTTTCTCTTTCCAAACTCAAGCTCAGTTGATTGGATTAAAATTGCGTGTGAATGGCATAATGTCGAGTCATGCCACAGATACTCCGTTGTAATTTAGTCTAATAATTTGTATATCATTTGGTCTAAAGCAGGAGTTCCCAAACTATTCCCAAACATTAGCTTGACCCCCAGAAACAAAGCTTGCTTCTCCTTTTTATCTCTTCCTTCCCTGGTAATAAAAGACAAGCTCTAACTAAAGGTCGACAGAACCCGCAGTGAATGGCTCTCAGGAGCTGTACGCTGAGATTTCTCCTTTCATGAAAGCTTGATGGAAATATAATGAACGTTGTCTGTGGTTCTTTTATGTAGGTTGAGAAAATCACCTATCAAATTGTTGTGGAAAAAAAAACCTATTACCAAGCACTGTTGAGGTAAAATCACTCAATCAGGTTTATTTATGAATTGTGCACAACTCAGAGCTTGTAGGACAATCAATCAAGAAGCAATTCTGGCGTTTGACCATTTTCGTTCAGAAAGATGAGCAAAGTAAATAACATTTTAATTATCTTTTTTTTCCCACACATGATAGAAGTATAAAATCAAACACGAGGACAAAGTGTCCAAAAAACAAATTTTTTGTACTGCAATAATCTTGATATGCTCGAAAAGGAGTAGGAAGTAAGAAACTTATGAACTCCTACAATACTTTCAGATCGACTCTCATTATTAAATCAAATTAAAAAATAAACATAGGTTAATAAATTTTCCATTTTATCTGAGCTTACATATGTAAATATATACATAACTATTCTAGCTTATATTTTGTAATGTAACAGATTACATTTTATCATAACAAATGACTAAAAGAATATATAGTTAAAAATGATTTTATATTCTTTTTTTTTTGCATTTTTTTCCTCATCTTCCTTCGAGCTTTCTGTGTTTCTTGCTCTTAGTTATGTTGCCTCAGTAATGTTTCTTAACAAAACACTGAGTTAAGTACCGAGCCAGAATCACGCCCATGTGGACTCCGTTAGTTCACCCAACAAGGAAATGTGTTGAACTGGACTTTCTTAAGGGGCATCAGGCAGAAGGGGATGAATACAAATATATGAAACGTTTTTCCCAGTTCCACTGGCTTTAACAACTTTATATCTCACCATTAGCGTGTACCAGAACAAAATGTGAAAACATTGAAAATGTATCATTACTCTTTGCAGAGCACTGTGGCTTATTTATCTGTTTAACCTTTCCTTCCTAGTCTGAATTAAAAGTGAAATACACAATGGAATAAAAAAAAAAAAACTCCACAGAATTAATCACGGTTGTTACAAATTCTGAGTCACACAACTGCAGATGTCGAAGGAATTTCAGACGGACATGCACCTGAAAATAAACTGAAACAGGCAATGCCGCGGCAGCATTCTTCCCTACCGCTGCTAAGTGGAAGAGAGCGGGGTGGCGGAGTTCAGCGGGTTAGGCATCACCACCGACGCATGAGGCATGCAAAACATCTGCAAGGCATTTGTCAAATTAAAACTAAATTAATAAATAATAATGGACGCCTGGTTCTCGGCCAGGATGTTGAGTCCAGTTAAATGGCACATGGTTTTACGGTTTGTGTTCATTTACCCTGGCTTTTGTCGTTTGGCAGCGGGCTGAAATGAAAGAGCCTGAGCCCTGGGCAAGACACATCATATTTACTATTGAAAAAATATTGTACATTGGAACTGGTGTGTTTTTATTCCACATCAGTTTTTCCATTGGAAACTGCAGAGTTTGAAGTGCAAATGCGTCCGTGCTTGTCAAGAGGTTAATTTAAGTGTGACTATAATGTTCCAGCTGCGCATACCGACAGCGAATGATAAGCAGCTTGATAAGGCATTAATGCTCTTATGGAAAAATAGCTTAAGCATGAAAAGTCAAACTTGCAACAGTTGCTTAGATCCACTGATACTCAAAGTCAGTCATGCCAGTGGTGTGAAATTAATTTGAATTCAATCTATTCGCATTTAAGGCAGGTTTTATATATATATATATATATTTGCAACCAAGTATCTCCAAAAACCTTTACTGATTGAAATGCATCTAATTAGTTTGTCTACTTTGGTTTTACAGAGTTTCGTCTTCTTTCCACTTTCATGTGGATGCTGCTTTTAAGCAGTCGAAGAAGGAACGCGCTTTTTAAAAAGACATTTATGCGCCACAGATGGCGTCTCATGCCGTATTCCAGCTAAAAGGTAATGGAAGGAGTTGTAAAGGCTTTCTCCGTTTTGGAGTTTCTCAGAAAGGAGCAGCTTGCTCACAGCTGCTGTTGGTGTTTTATCAGCGACGTAAATCAAATTGTGATTCAAAAGCTCTAACAGTAAGTTCCGACGCAGAAAAATAAAAGAAATTATCCTCTCCCCTACCCAAAAAACAAGAAAAAAAAAAGATCAAAACACTTGGTCAGTCTCCTATGTCCTTAATGTTTAATTTATTCAGAGCGAATGTGCTTGGGCAGACCACAGGGGCTAATTCCAACCCATTTTGTAGATAACCACAATACAAAAAGAGTATTTTTGATAATTAGCAAGTCATTTGCTGGCCGCAACATATTTCTGGACTTCCTGCTTCGCAGTGATGGTGGCTTGAGGCTCTGAATGGGGATCAAAGTCTCTTCATACACCATTAACAAGGAAGTGCTGCAATAACAGAAAGCTGTTGCCAGTTTTGACACCCCTCACAAACTTTCCAGCATTTTTTTTTTACTCCCCCAGAATTCAGATAAACATGGTTTTTTATAACTCCCACCTGTAATAAACAAATCGTTCTTTTATTGTTGTTGTCGTGTGAGTGTGTTGGAGTATTTGTTTTTACAGATTTTCCAGAACAATCAAAAGTTCTTGCGTATACCAAGTCGAGGTGATGCTTTAATTATTTATGTTGTAATTTTGGGCAACATGCTTTAACTGCTCATTTGCAGTGGCGTTACAGCGATTACTGAGTTTGAGGTTATTTGTTCACTTTGTTAAAACGGAGATTTATGATGAGGCCAGAACCAATTTGTATTCTTCTTTAAAGTCTGACTTATAGATTCATACTTTATCAGATTCCAGTATTCCATATTTCTACAGACTAATATACATAAAAGATCATTTAGATAGTATTATATGCAACAGTGACATAATTATAGGAATATATCCCTCTAGTTATTCCTCAAGGTAAAATGTCAGATTATACTTTAATCTAGGACTTGCTAAACTCAAAAAGTGCATCATGGACCACAAGATGTAGGTTGATAACATACCAAAAATGTTATTTTTATGCATTTAATTAGTAGGAAATATAATCATATTTATAATTCACCAAATAATGAATCGGTTTCTTAACAATACAAGGAGACTTCTTTGACAGAAGTGACAGATTAATGTTGGATTTGATACTCAGAACATTTCTCTAACTCCCTAATCTCTGTGTAATTATAAAACTAAAATTAGTGACACTTTATTCTGAAAGGAATGTCAATTTGATAAACTGAGCACCCTTGTGGTATTCACAATTTCTGGTTCAAAACTGGTGTTTTCCAATGTTTTAAATCCAAAAGTTATTTGCAGGAACTAAACATTCCTGTAAATAATTTGTGAAATTATTTGTCTATTAGCAATGTGCTTCCATGTTCATGTGCGTTTGTTTTAATCCATGCATAAAAACCCAAATGCATAAAGAAAAGAGTGGAAGTGTGTAAACGACATGCATTTCTTTGTCTGCTCAATTTAAATATGCTGATTTCATGTAGTAGAATTCATTGCATCATTCTTAACATTATTAATATTAAGTTGATATAATCTGTTAGTGTTTATTTTGCTTCTTCACAGTTTTATCCCATTTAGTGATTTATTTATTTAGTTCCAGATAGTTTCAGGTATTAAAAGGAGCCATTTTCTACCGGACGATTCACGCCAGTGACGCATCAGTTGAAACCCATTTTCAGGACATTTTACATCCACTTGGGCAGTCAGAGTAAGTAAAAGAATAGTAAAAGAAAAAATGTTGAACGATAAAACAAGAATCCAGTAAAAAAAAAAAGGGTGTCTGGAGCTCGTACCCAGGCAGATCTGCAGACTCTGAAACAGCTCTGCAATAAAAACAGATAGTCTTATAATGCAAATCACAGCATGTGCTCATAAACAAACAGGGGACAGAAACCCAACACTGGCATTTCATTCTAAGGTTACTTTAAACATTGCTGGTTTGGATGGAAGTCTGAGTGTCATTTTCCCCTCCATCCTTTTAGACTTGAGAGCTGGGGTTAAATGTAATCCAAACTCTGCATGGATACCAGGAAAGCTGCAGTAACAACACTATTGCTTGCAAACACACCCTGACATTGAAGAGTCGCTTTCTACCTTGTGGAAGAAATCGGACTTGTGTCCTACAAAAACATCCACCAAGTAAGAGCTTTACACATTCAGATCTTTACTGAATGTGTGAAGCAGAAGATTTTTTCACTGCTGACATCTTTTTTTTTTTTGCACTAAAACACAGATGGCAGCATCACTTGACGCCCCATTTCCATAATCTGACACAGTCTACAAGTGTTGATATATAAGGTCACTGATGACGTCAGTCTGTGCAGCTTCTGCTGTAAGAACAAAAAATTAATAACTTCATAACATTTGGCAAAAATAAAATAATGTTGATAAAGAGGTTAGGTTGCATCCTTAACAATTAAGGTGATTTCTGTTCTTGGTTGCGCTGAACAACATTGTCTAACTCTGCAACGACTCTGTGAATCTTTAAATTAGTTTTGCAAAATCAAAAGTCACCTGCCTGTCAGATCATGTGCCTGATGCTATTAGAGTTTATTCACATGTTTTATCCATTTGTTTTAACAACTTAATGTTCAGAATCAAGAAAGCCATTTTTCGAGACTTTTGTACAGTTAAATGACAACAGATCGATTTGCTTTCATAATTCTGTGTTTTGTTTGAATATTTAGCTATTAGAATAAAAAACATCAAAGATAAAAAAAAAAAACTTTTTTCTTAAATGTCATTTATGGTAAATGAAAGGGGAAAGTCGTTGAACTGAAAGTCAAGAACTGAACAAAACATTATTCCTCCATTAATATTGCAGTTGCATACAGGAGCAGAATAAAACAAAAACGTAGACAACTGCTAAAACTGCACTGTTTTTGTTGCTTAAGTGTTAAAAACACTGCTCAGTCATTTTATCCTTTGGGTCAAAGTTACATAATGGGTCACGTATGGAAACAGAGCTCCAGGCTGTAGCCATAGTAACCTAACCCAGACAGATGTCTGCTCATTGTACACATCTTTCTATTAAATGTGAAGCTGAATAACATTAGTTATGTTATTCTGCAGGATTTTTTTTTATTATTTTAAATTGTTGGTAATTATCCTTCTGTCCAATTTTGTAAATAATAATAAAATTTAATTGAATAAAAAAGCTGAACAAACGTAAAACAAAACAGGCATTTAAAAGACATCCTATTTTTTTTATGACAGTAAGAGCAGTGACCTCTTCTAGAGCCAACGGGCATCGACGTTATGAACAACTCTTTATAGTTGTGATGTCAGATCATGTTTACATTCACGCTGTTAACTTACTACTGGTCAGAAAAGTGAGGGGAGGTAATTTCTACAGACATCAGGAGTCACTGAGGAACTGTAACCCACACTTGAAACGTCCGACATCATGTTTTTAAACGGACTTTAACTGCGCCTTTCAACTCCGTTGTCGAAGTACATGTACTTCAGCCATGGCTCGTTTCAAGTTGAATTATAAACCAGTCTGCTTCTGTAGTAATCGGCAAACGTAAAACATTTTCTGTGTCATGCGTTCAGTTAATCATAAGCGTGCTCATTTGAGAAGGGTGTTGAATTGAGAAGTTTTTGTTAAGAGCAGTAACTTTGAAACCGAGAGCTTCGGGAAACGCACTCAGAGAATATCGGTTCCCTAAACCCTGTTTGCAGAGAGAGGAAGACCGACCCAGCCAGTCAGTTTGTTTGCATTCCCACATACTGTTTATATAAACAGTATACCATGCAGTGCAATCATGCTCTGTTGGACTGTAAGTGTTTCTGTAAGGAAGCACGCGCATGTGTGTGTGTGCGCGGATGTATGCTGTGTGTGTGCGTGCGCACGCCCAAATCATGAATCATCTCTTCTAAGATCTGGTATTTGACAGCAAAGTGAAACCATTAGCCCTAACAAGATGTGGACCGAGTCGTTTCATTCACAAAATCTGATACAATTTGAGGTTCCTAACAACAAACTTCTGCTGCGCCGGGATGGAAAACATCAGCCAGCAGTCCCAACATAACATACTTTACTCATTTAGTCTGACTTTTCTTTGGATGTTCATGTTTTGGAGTCCTTTATTTTAACTGCAAGAAAAAGATTCATAAGCAAAAGTTGTTGTTCTTGACATAAAATCTGACATTTAGCTGGTAGCTTTAAATAATGGTTGAGCATGGAATTAATCAGCGTTCTGGTTTAATGTACATAGTTAACTTAATCCTCACCTTCTTTTTTTAGCATCAACATAAAATTAGCTTTTACTTAAAAGCATTCATGATTAATGTGAATAAGTATTAAACAGTTTTAACATCCATCTTTGTGAGGGCTATTTGTCGTTTTACTGTCACTTAAACAGTTTCTGTTAATCACTATATTTACGGACGCAACGTATTGCAAAATATTCTATTTTGTGAAGTAACTAATTAACAGCAACTGATGGCGCTCATCTCTTTTCCCTTTACAGAACTAATATGTAATCAATGGTTATTCAGGCAAGTCCTAAATTATTTTTTTATTCGTCAGCAGCTTAAACATGTTCTATTTAGGTACATAGGAACCTAAATTGCTGATAAAACCTTAAAATCCCTCATTTTCACTACTACATCTTTATGATGCTATATGGGTTGAACTTCTCTCATAATCAGTACAAATGTTTGGCAAGGTTGTGATAAAACATCTCAAATTATGAGTCTTTTGTTGAAAAAGCCATATTGCTAATTAGATATTTAGTCAGAATAAGTAAGTTTTTTTCTTGATCAGGGTGTATGATCATATACGAGATTTTTTTCTTTTCATATAATAATGCCACACGTTTCAAAGAGTCCAGTACAAAGTCTTAATAGTTATCAGTATTATAATATGGGAGTTTCATAAATTTAACATCATTGGTTTTTGAGAAAACGAAAGCAGGAAAACTGCATTTTCCGAAATCCTGAACGTACGCCGAGGTTTGGAGCATCATGGATTCCTATTGTGGTGGCAAATACCATGATGGAGCCTGATTTCTGATTGGTTGGATGACGTCATGTGGTTCTTAAAACGTTTGAAGTGCTGCGATGAAATTAGTAAAGAAGGTTATATGTAAACGCTCGGAGAAATTGTTGGTGACATGGAAGAATACTGCGTCAGAAGGTGAATATTTACCACGCCAACACACACGCGCACGGAGCAAGACGAGAAA